TTTTAGAGCTTTTCTATAAGTAGAAGTACTTTCCCTCCATGCAATACAAAATACTTTTTATGTTTTGTTTTCTTCCAGCTGCGCTCCATTCTCCGAGCTGCTGCTCTCTTTAAGGCGCTAGTGTGCTCGTTATACCACAGTGTTGGACTGTTTTCCTTAATCTTCTTTAAGCGTAAAGGAGCAACCATATCTAAAGTGATAGAAAAGAGAAAGTCAATAGTTTCTGTTGCACAAAGTTTTTCTGAGCTATTAGATTTGCTGAGGAAGTCAGGAAGATTATTTACAAAGCAGTCTTTTGTTGTAGATGTGATGGTTCTACCATATTTGTAATTGTAAGTTGAGTTTGCAGCTTTAGAAATATGGAGTATACACAAGACTAGATAATGATCCGAGATATCATCACTCAGCTGCAGAATTTCAGTGTCATTAGCATCAATTCCATGTGACAGTATTAAATCTAAAGTATGATTACGACAATGAGTAGGTCCTGACACGTGTTGTCTAACCCCATTAGAGTTCAGAATGTCTATGAATGCTGATCCCAATGCATCATTGGGAATGCTTTTTCATTATCAACATGGATATTAAAATCACAAAAAAATTAAGACCTTATCTGCAGTCAGCACTAACTCAGATAAAAATATCACCAAATTCTTTTATAATTTTTTTTTTGGTGCCCTGGGGGCCTGTATACAGTAGCCAGTACAAACGTCACCGGGGATTTATCATTAACACTTATTTCTCTAGATAATTTTATATGAACCACCATTACTTCAAATGACAAGAATGACTTGATTGGATGCTTTGTTTTAACCTGTTAACTTTTCTAATTTAAGGGTTAAGGTTTTTAATTTTATTTAATTTTCAAAAAAATATATATATATGAAAATATTTTATGCAAATATTCAAATATTTAATATATAAAAGGTTTATTATTTACTAAATAAATTTGAGCCATCCCTTTCACTTAATGACTGAAAAAATTAAATGATTCATTTAAATAACTAAATTCTTTCTCTGACAAAAAAATTCACAAAGTGTCTAATTTTCAGGCTGTGCTAAATAATAATAAAAACCCTAACCCTAAAAATAAATCCTGCTGTTTCAAAATAAATATATGTGAAACAGTAGGACACACACACCAGGGTTGGGAGGGTTACTTTTAAAATGAATTCCGTTACAGTTACAAATTACTTCATTAAAAAAGTATTCAGTAACGTAATCCAAGTACCACAATATAAAAGTAATGTAATCTGATTACTTCAAGTTACATATGTAAATAAGTCATAAGTAATAGTAAGTTAGTAAAGTAAATAAGTTAAGCCTTCATTTCAGCCCGGGCCCTGACTTTTTTACGGCCCTCGGGCCGGGCTTTGGGCCAATTTTCACATCATAGAACGCGGGCCGGGCCTCGGGCCTGTTTTAGGCTTCTCCTTATTTTTATATTTAAGAGATATTTGAATTATTTACTAATAAATAGTGTTTTCTGAGTCGGTGTCGCAAGGATGAAGCCATCTCCTCATTAGACGCGTCTTTAGAGAGAAGTGCATCTTTACGGATTATGATTATAATAAAAGTTTTTGTTTTCGATTTGTTTTATTTATAAGTAATAATTTAAAGTTTTCTATAGATATATTTATCATGTCTGTGAGGCATCTATTCGCTGAGTTTCAGTTCATTTTTGTGAAGCGCTCCAGTTCAATACGAGACAGCAGAAAGCGCATCATGTTTTTCTTTATTTTATAAAAGCACAACATTTTGTTGATATTGTGAGTGCACACAAATAAAAGTAGACCCTTTACAGTTCCGAATGATGTAGTACTCTTACCTTTATGAGCAAAATTCACGTCGTATCCACTGAAAAAAATGCAAGCGATCGCGCTGGCGCCTCCATGTCCTGCAAAGCGCGCTTTAGCATGCACTCTCCGCACAAACTATTGGATACAGCGCACATTTATCTAGGTTTAACGTTTAAACATTGTTATATGTTTGAACTGTTTTATATCTATATATTTTATTTTAGACAAGTCGTGATGATTTCAGAAGGCTAACATGGGCTATCAGCTCACTGTCTGCCGGTGGCCGCTTGGTCGTTACTTTAAAAAACAAAAACTTATATTTAACGAACAAAAAATGCTCCAAACGTTTTTTCTAAATTAATTTAATAAAAAACCTAAACGAAATATAATCACTTCGCCATTACATACAAAACTGAACTATTTTAATAGCTGAAACAGTAGTATAAGTTCATGTGTCTTGCACTGAGGAGAGGCTTCCGTCGGGCCACTCTGCCATAAAGCCCCGACTGGTGGAGGGCTGCAGTGATGGTTGACTTTCTACAACTTTCTCCCATCTCCCGACTGCATCTCTGGAGCTTAGCCACAGTGATCTTTGGGTTCTTCTTTACGTCTCTCACCAAGGCTCTTCTCCCCCGATAGCTCAGTTTGGCCGGATGGCCAGCTCTAGGAAGGGTTCTGGTCGTCCCAAACGTCTTCCATTTAAGGGTTATGGAGGCCACTGTGCTCTTAGGAACCTTAAGTGCAGCAGAAATTTTTTTGTAACCTTGGCCAGATCTGTGCCTTGCCACAATTCTGTCTCTGAGCTCTTCAGGCGGTTCCTTTGACCTCATGATTCTCATTTGTTTTGACATGCACTGTGAGCTGTAAGGTCTTATATAGACAGGTGTGTGGCTTTCCTAATCAAGTTCAATCAGTATAATCAAACACAGCTGGACTGAAATGAAGGTGTAGAACCATCTCAAGGATGATCAGGAGAAATGGACAGCACCTGAGTTAAATATATGAGTGTCACAGCAAAGGGTCTGAATACTTAGGATCATGTGATATTTCAGTTTTTCTTTTTAATAAATCTGCAAAAATGTCAACAATTCTGTGTTTTTCTGTCAATATGGGGTGCTGTGTGTACATTAATGAGGAAAAAAAAATAACTTAAATGATTTTAGCAAATGGCTGCAATATAACAAAGAGTGAAAAATTTAAGGGGGTCTGAATACTTTCCGTACCCACTGTACATACATATATATGTGTGTGTGTGTGCAGAAAAATCTTTTTTGCAAAAGCCTACAAGCACTACTAATCTGACTATGTTCTACTTTAATTCTAGTAAAAAAAAACACACACACATTTGATAGTTATATTTCCATTTGTCACTTATAATAAATGTGGGTTGTCTGCTAAAGATGAACTGGTTAAAAAAAAAAAAATCATGTTGTCAGAGCCTGTGTTTTTGATGCAATGAACTGTGGTGAGTTTAACCAATTAAGTATCCCTTTTCTATGTTTTCTTTGCAATAGTAACCAAAAGGCCAAAAATAGCATTAAACAATCCTTGATGTAATTAAACAGCATCACTGGTATCATTACTACTCTGAGTCGCTGACAGGATCGATTCAAATAGATTCTCTTCTGTTTTACAGAAAGTCCGTCTTGCAAGGATTCGCTTGGCCAAGAAGGGAACCACCAACGCCTTCCTACAATACAAAGAAGAAGGAGGATTTCATGTGAGACTTTTTCATGAGTAGTTTTGTTTTTCAATAAAGACATGTGTTTCTATTAAAAATTGAGTCTAAAAATGACAGTGAACTCACCCTTATGTTGCCCCAGACCCCTATGACTTTCTTGCTTCAAACCAAAAGGGGAAGGACAGCAGTGATTATGGTCTGTCATGCTCCAAAGAGCCCAAACCACCATAAAAGTAATCAGTGCAACGTGGCTTTGTGAACACACAAAAAAATTAAGTCATTTTTAACTTTTAAAATCTCATCTGTGCATATACAAACTTCATGTGCTGTAAATTATCATTTAAAAGACTGGGCCAGTAAGATTTTCTAATGCTTCTAAAAGTCTGTTATGCTCACTAAGGCTGCATGTATTTGATAAAAAATTATACTGTTGTGAAAAAAAACATTACAATTTAAAATAAGTTTGGTGCTCAAGAAACATTTATTATTATTATCAATGTTGAAAGCAGTTGTAATGCTTAATATTTTTGTGGAAAAATATATATATATATTCTTTAATGAATAGAAATTTCAAAAGAACAGCATTTATTTGAAACAGAAATGTTTCTTGTGTAACATTATAAATCGCAGTTTTGATTAATTTAATGCATCCTTGCTGAACAAAACTATTAATTTCTTTTTTTTAATGCATCTTTCTGACTCACAGTAAAATCAAAATCTGTCTGTTGTGCATCATTAAAGCAAATTTATATATAAATAAACAGACCAAGTTAGAATACAATTTCAGTCTGTTTCAAAACACAAAGCTATCATATAACTTACATATCAGTGCACAAATTATATGGACTACTTTTATGATACTTTTATGCTTTTTTGTCCTTTTTTGAGCACTCATCCCTTGTTGAACATTCTTCACAATTTCTCTTTTTATGTTCATTGTAAGAAAGAAAATCATACAAGTTTGGTAATGTGAGGGTGAGTAAATGACAACTTTCATTTTGGTGTGAACTATATTTGTAACTATATTTAACAAACTATATATTTAAATGATCTGTAGAACTGAAGTCTTTATCAGTCTCCCAGGCTGCTTCAAAGGATTTGATAACGTTTGCCTGACATCAAACCTATAAAAGATACACAGAGTTCCCTTTCAGTCGGTCACTCTCGACGTCACTGCTGATCACAGCGTGAGCATAAAAAGGCAGCCGGTGCAACGCATACCAGCTTTTCGCTTCGGAGCTGAGCGACAACATCGTTCTGCTCTTATCAACTGCTTCGTGTGTGACGAGTTTAGTGCACTCTAGGGAGCTTCTTGTGTTGGCAGACGGCGCTTCAGCGGTGGTCGTTCCTGAGTCGAGTGAGTTGCACACTTCAGGCTGCACTACCCCTTGTTGTGCTGCAAGCAGCCATCTCCCCTGTGTGTCTCAGCACCTAAAAGAGCTTCCCCGAAAGAGCTTATTTCTCTAAAAGAGCTTACACGTGTGCGTCTTTGTAAAGACGACGGATTGCTTCAGCACTGACTTCATGGCCGAGTCTCGAGGTGGGTGTGGCAGCGCGGCACTCACCGGGTCCAAGTTACACCGGCTTGTCGCCAAACCTTCACCCAGTGGTCAGACCTTACATTCCTCCGGCAGGAGTGCCCCTAGAACAGGTCTCCAGGCATGCTGGGGTTTACACGGATGCCTCCACCACCGGCTGGGGGGCCACGTACAACGGGCATGCAGTGTCGGGGGTGTGGACGGGCCCCCAACTGCACTGGCATATCAATTGCACCGTCACTTGAACCGTCTTAAAGGGCGCTTATGAGGCAAACACGTGCTGTTCCGAACAGACAACATGGCGACCGTTGCGTACATCAACCGACAAGGTGGTGTACGCTCCCGTCGTATGTCACAACTCGCCCGCCACCTCCTCCTTTGGAGTCGGAAGGTTCTGAGGTCACTTCGTGCCATTCACATTCCGGGTCTGCTCAACCTAGTCGTGCTTTCCTTTTTGCAGCAAGGGTTGGAGCGAAGACTGTCTCCCTCCACCCTTAAAGTCTACATGGCTGCGATTGCTGCTAACCACGACCCGACGTGGCGGAGAGTCCGGCGCCAGGCCCTCACTCGATGAATCCGTGAGAACCGCCGGAGGGCTGGGTTCCATATGTAGAGACTTAAGTGGATCTCATATGTGTAAAATACACGGTATAGCCTCAGAGCCCGTGTTTCCCTGGCAGACTTTTTGCTATTTTTCCAAGAGGGTTACAATCACCTCTAATCTTCCATATACGCCTAAACAGTAGTTCATATGTGTAAGTGCTTCCGAAACCTCCTTTGGGAAGGATGGGGCTTCCGCAACGTTCCTGTCCCGAGTGGTATGGGTACGTTTTCCCAGTGTTATCCAGTCCTACTGAGTGGGTAGTGCCATAGCAGCAGTAGCTGGTCTTCTTGTGGTAAGCCCTGGCCTGCGCCAAAAAATAGTGGAGCAAGAGGAGCGAAGGCTGTCTCCCTCCACCCTTAAAGTCTACATGGCTGCGATTGCTGCCAACCACGACCCCGTGGAAGGGAAGTCGGTGGGGAAGCATGACCTGATCATCAGGTTCCTTAGGGAGGCGAGAAGGCTAAATCCTCCACGGCCCCCTCCATACCCTCTTGGGACTTGTCTCTGGTGCTTAAAACACTACAGCAGGGCACATTTGAGCCTTTGCAGTCAGTTGAGCTAAAGTTCCCACTACTACCTTCAGGGATCACGTGGTGAGCCTGCAAACGGTGCTCCTGGAGGAGGCAGACTCAGCCCTAGCTTTGCTTTGTCCCGTCCGAGCCTTGAGATGCTCACATGGTGTGCCCTGCCCACTCAGGTTGCGAGCTCACTCTACTAGAAGTGTTGCATCCTCCTGGGCGCTGGCTCGTGGCACCTTGCTGACAGATATTTGTAGAGCTGCGGGCTGGGCGACCCCCAACACGTTCGCTAGATTCTATAGCCTTCGTGTGGAGCCAGTATCCTCCTGTGTTCTCACCTCAAACGGGTAGAGGCATTGAGAGGCCCCGGTTTAGTGTCGGCTTGGTAAAACTGCTCCAGAGTGTCCGTACTGTAGACACTGTTGAGCTCCTCCATCCCCTCGGCAGCCAGACATGGCGGAACGTCCGGCGCCAGGCCTTCACTCGATGAATCCTTGAGAACCGGTAGAGGGCTGGGTTCCATATGTAGAGACTAAATTGATCCCATATGTGTAAAGTCCACGGTATAGCCCCAGAGCCCGTGTTTCCCCGGCAGACTTCTGCCATTTGCAAGAGGGTTACAATCACCTCTAATCTTCCATATGCACCTAAACGGATGTTCATATGTGTAAGTGCTTCCGAAACCTCCTTCGGGAAGTATGGGGCTTCCGCAACGTTCCTGTTCCAAGTGGAACAGGTACGTTTTCCCAGTGTTAGTGCTATGACAACAGTGACTGGTTCTCTTGTTGCGAGCTCCGGCCTACAGCAAAAAGGGGCACAGGCGGCTCGCACAGGACACTGGAAGGGGCAGCATCCATGGCGCTTTGGTAGGGATCCCAATTCGTCAGTCACCGACGTGACGTCGAGAGTGACCGACTGAAAGGGAACGTCTCGGTTACGTATGTGACCCTCGTTCCCTGAAGAAGGGAATGGAGACGTCACGTCCCGTCGCCATGGCTGCTGCATCACCACTGAGCGGCCGGGTCACCGGCTCGGCTCCTCAGCGAAAAGCTGGTATGCGTTGCACCGGCTGCCTTTTTATGCTCACGCTGTGATCAGCGGCAGCTGGATGCAATTATCGCATGCCAATATGCATTGGCTCGGTTAGTTTACACTCGAAGTGGATTGGTCTCTCTAAGCGAGATCCCAATTCGTCGGTCACCGACGTGACGTCTCCGTTCCCTCCATCAGGGAACGAGGGTTACATACGTAACAGAGACGTTTTGTATCATAAGGGGAATATTTCAGCACAGACATTAAACATCTGACTATGTAAGTCTAGGGAAAAATAGACAGTAATATTTGTGTGTATTCTGAGAAGTCGTATTGTTGAGAAGGAATCGTTAAGTGTTCTCTCAACTACAGTTAGTACTGTGTCTGCTTACAGAGAGTGTAATAGATGCTGCAATGATTCTCCAGCAGAAATTTTTGAAATTGGATCTGCCATAATAAGATGGTTTTCTGTTTAAAGGCTAACATGAGCATCTCGCTTGACAGCAAATTTAAGAATGAAACCCATCAAAACAATTCATGCACATTTCTGGCTAAGTTGGTGAAGCTGTTCGTCTTAAATGCACACATTTTGTTCAATAGATACTCAAAGGGACAGTTTGTTTACTCACACTCATGTTGATCCGAACCTGTATGCCTTTCTGTGGAAGACAAAAGAAGATATTTTTATTTTTTATTTTTTTTGTCCATACAATGAAAGACAATGGTCCTATGTTGATTTCACTCGAAATTTCCACAAAATGTACTGTGTGTGTGTGTGTGTGTGATTTCATCAATACAATGAAAGTAAATGGGGTCCAATGTTGTTTGCGCCTCAGATTTCCCCCAAGTTTTTTTCTGTGCGTGTTCCACAGAAAAAAATAATAAAGTCCTATAGGTTTGGAACAACATGAGGGTAAATTAATTTGAATTCTTTATAAAAATTGCCAAAGTCTGCCATCTTTAAAATATTAATCAAAATGTCTTTGTCCATTAACAATGCATAACTTTCACAGCTCAGAACTGCAACAGAAATCTAATTCCTCAGATTTTAAAAGCATAAAACTATAAAAGTTTAATACAACACATTAAATCACAGTCAAACCCAGCAACAAGAGAATCTCAGCTCCAGCATCGAAGTATTCATATTCACAGCATGACATGAAGGGTCATTAAAGCGCAGCACACCAGCTCATAAAAAGTACAGTATATTATTCGGCTGCCAGCGTGCTGCTAAGCACAGAACAGATTTCTGAGATATTAACGATCATACGGTCTTTTCGATCTCATCAAACAGTTTTACAGTATGTGTAAAGGTCAGTCATTTGGCCTCTGAGAATGCGTCAGTCC